TGCTTTTCTTCCTCCTGTCGGTGGAATTCTCTCTCTGTAGAATTTTTTTTTTCTATGCTAATACCTCTGTGAGGAGTTTATCACTTTTTAAAAAAATTATTTTTAAGTCTGTCATTTTTGTACATGTTAGGATGTTATACCAGATCAAATCAGATCCACCCTCTTTAAATGGAGGGAGTGAGCTAGGTCTTAAAGGAAGAGCTGGAGAAGAAAATTACACTTAAAAAAAAAAAGTTCACTTAGGGCTTGCCTTGCTTAGACTTGTAAGCTGCCTTTCCTGATACTACTGTGTTAAATTTCTTCCCGTGGGACTCTAATGCAATTTATAATTTTTCTGTTTTAAAAATGAATAACAGTTGACTCATTTACTCCCTTTGTTTTTGATTTTTTTCCTTCCATGACTCAAAGCAACAATGGTTTATTTTTCACTCATGCAACATGTCTAGCATGGGTTAGCAAGTGGGCTGTGCTCTTCAGTCACTCAGGGACAGTGACTAAAGCTCCACTATGACACATGCTTCTAAATTGCTTTAGGGCAAGAGAATGTGGTGAATTGTGCACTAGTTTGCAAAGCTTCCACCTGGAAGTGCCATATGTCACTTGAACATATTTCATTGGCCAAAGCAAGTCCATACTGTCTACTTTCTGAACCAGAATGTTTGTGAACAATCCTAATGAATACTAGAGGTAGCATTTGCTTTCTTGTGCTCCCAGGTCCTATTGTTATTCCACATGATTCCCACCCCCCCCACCTCCCATTTTTATGAAACTTTTCTATATCCTTCATTTCTTCCTCACTACTGTTCTTTCTGCTTCCCTTGTATAAGTGAACCTGGCTTTCCCGTTAATGATATTACTTCCTGTGAAATTCCTCCCAGTATAGGCTTCTCCTTTTCCTTCCTTTATCCCCAACATAGAGGGCAAAGAAGAAGGGTCAACATCCTTTGTTCTCCATTGCCAAATCCAGATTATTTTTCTGGTTGAAATTCAGCAGTCTCTCATCTTTCCAGCTGTCTCATGCCACCCTCCTTCCATCCTCCTGCTATGGTATACTAAGCCCCATGGTGCTTTTTTTTTAACTTTTATTGTGGTAAAATTTATGTAATAAAACATTTCTACAATTTTTATATGTACAGTTCAGTGACATTAACTATATTTACCATGTTATGCAATAGTCACCATTATCTTTTTCAAAAATTTTTTATCACCCTTAATAAAAACTTACTGCCTCTTAAGCAAAACACGCCCCACCCTTCCCCTCCCACCTGCTTCCCTTCCTACCTCTCACCTCCAAACTTTTGTCTCTATGCATTTGCCTATTCTGGACATTTCATATAAGTAAGATCATACAATATTTTTCCTTTTATGTCTGATTTATTTCACTTAGCATAATGTTTTCAAGATTCATCCATGTTTTAGCTTGTATCAGAATTTTATTTCTCTTTGTGGCTGAATAATATTCCACTGTATGGATATATTACATTTTTTTTAAAAGTGTTAAAATGCAAAGAAGTTACTTTGAGCACTGAGGTGTGCCTCGCCCAAGCCATGGTATTTTCAATCACCTCATATGCATGTGAAAGCTGGACAGTGAATAAGGTAGATCAAAGAAGAATTGATGCATTTGAATCATGGTGTTGGCAAAGAGTATTGAATATACCATGGACTGCTAGAAGAATGAACAAATCTATCTTGGAGAAGTACAGCCAGAATGCTCCGTAGAAGGGAGGATAATGAGAATTCATTTTTATATACTTTGTACATGTTATCAAGAGGGACCAGTCCCTGGAGAAGGACATCATGCTTGGTAAAGTGGAGGGTCAGCGAAAAAGAGAAAGACCCTCAATAAGATGGATTGACATAGTGGCTGCAATAATGGGCTCAAACATATCAACGATTATGAGGATGGCACAGGACTGGGTAGTGTTTCATTCTGTTGTACATAGTGTTGCTATGAGTTGGAACTGACTCAACGGCACCTAACAGCAACAACGACATTTTACTTATCCATTTGGCTGTTGATAGACACTTGGGTTGTTTCCACCTTTTGGTTATTGTGAGTAATGCTGCAGTGAACATTGATATGCAAATACCTGTGTGAGTTCTTGCTTTCAATTCTTTTGGGTATATACCCAGGAGTGTAATTGCTGGGTCATAGGTAGTTCTAAAAGGAGCTCTGGTGGCGCAGTGATTAAGAGCTTGGCTGCTAACTGAAAGGTTGGCGGTTCAGACCCACCAGTTGCTCCACAGGAGAAAACACCTGGAGATCTGCTCCCATAGAGATTACAGCCTAGGAAACCCTGTGGGTCAGTTCTACTCTGTCCTATAGGGTCTCTGTGAGTCAGAATCAACTCGATGGCAACGAGTTTGGTTTCGAATGACTAATGATGTTGAGCTTCTTTTCATATACTTATTGGCCGTTTGTTTATCTTCTTTAGTGAAGTGTCTATTCAAGTTGTTTGTCCATTTTTTAAAAATTAGGTTGTCTTTTTGTTGTTGAGTTATAGGAGTTCTTTATATATTCTGAATATTAAACCTGTCTTGGTTTCCTAGTGCTCCTATTGCAGAAATACCACAAGTGGGTGGCTTTAAAGAATAGAAAAATTTTTTCCCATAGCTCTGGAGCTGAAAGTCCAAATCCAGGTCTGGGCCATGTTGATTCCTTCCTTGTCTGTAGCCCCAAGTGTTCCTTGATTCCTTGGTGATCCATACATGGCATCTTTTCCCCCATGTATGCATTTCTCTGTGTCTCATCTGCTTTTTTTATAACTCAGAAATGATTAGCTTTGGAACCCACCCTACTTGGGTATGATTTAATTAACATAACAGAGAAAACCCTATTTCCAAACAGGGCAACATCCACAGGTTAGCATTCCAACACATATTTTGGGGGCACATAATTTAATCCACAGCAAACTCTTATCAGATACATGGTTCCCAAACGTTTTCTCCCAATCTGTATGTTATCTCTTCACTTTGCTGATAAACTCCTTTGATGCACAAAATGTTTTAATTTTGATGAAGTCCCATTGGTCTATTTTGTTTTTGGTTGCTTGAGATTTTGATGTCATATCCGTGAATCCATTGCTGAAAACTATGTTTCGAAGCATTACTCCTATGTTTTGTTATAAGAATTTGATGGTTTTAGTTCTTACATTTAGATCTTTGAACCAACTGAGTTAATTTTTTTATGTGGTGTGAGGTACGGGTCCAACTTCATTCTTTTGCATATGGAAATCCAGTTGTCATATCACCATTTATTGAAGAAACTATTTTTTCTTCACTGGATAAACTTAGCATCCTTGTTGAAAATCAGTTGGCCATAGCCGTATGGAGTTTTCTTTGGTTTTGAGCTCCCTTTGGTTTTGAGGTCACTTATAAAGTCATAGGAAACTTAGTGATTCTGAAAAATAAACACTGAAAGCAGATCTTAAGTTGCCAGTATGCAATTTATAGATTTTTAATTGTGGGGGGGAGGGTTTGTCTCCACAAACTTGTATTTGTCTTTGAAATTCCATGGTAGTGGCCAAATTATAGTTACCAAGTATTGCCAGTTTAAAGATATTCAGTGGTACATTAAACTTATTTTTAACAGTTTATTTATTTTTATAAAAACTTGATGTAAAAACAGTTTGGGGGCAGTGTCTGACCTCTTCTAACTTCACAAGGAGGAAGGAGAACTAAGACTAACAGTCCAAGACTGATTGGTATGAGGCAGGAGTCAGACATGCCACCTCTTTCTGCCATCTTTACCAATTCTGACACCAACTGTCCCTCCCACAGCACTCTACTTCTCTGCTGGGTTCAGTAATTCATTGCAGTGGCCACACAGAACTCACAGACCATACTTAAGATTATGGGGTTTATTAGGGAAGTAACAGGTTACAATTCAGACTCAGGAACACTCAAGATACAGTTTTTCCCTCAGGACAGCCTCTTCCCAGCTGTGCTCGAAGGCACGCCTTTCCCTGGCCCTAGGCCTCTGCCAGAGGCAGTCAGCTTTCTCTCTCCAAGGGCCAGGAAGCCCACTGCGCCATTTCCTGCTACCAGGTCTCTGCTGCTGGGTCTTTCCTGCCACTCACTGCCTTCAGGGTTATAGCTTGCTCTCTCTCTCCCAGTCTCCTGCTTCCAGGAGCTTCTCAGCGCAGAAATCCTGAGTCCAAAGGACGCACTCTCCTCACCTAGCTTTTCTTCCTTGGTGGTGGTAGGATCCTCCTGTCTGCTCTGGAATTGACTCTCTTTTAAGGCAAAACTGACCAGTCCTCTTGGTCGGCGACAACTACCCTATCGTACAGTCCTGCCCAATCACCTGGGTGGGAGTTACAAGACCAGGGCTAGAAAGGCCACACACAAAAGTAATTAATTGCACCATACTTGGCCTATGCTCATTGTATAACATTTGGATGAAAGAGGAAAGTTTAAGAAAATACCCCATAATCTTATATCCAGAAATAATTCAGTGTAGTTAATATTTTCATCTTGTTCCTTTCATTATTTTCTAAGTGCAAGTATCTTAACATAGTTGAGATCATACTGTCTGCATAGATTTGTATTTTGTTTTGTCCCTCGGTATAACATTAAGTTGCCAAGGTGGGGGAAAAGTTGCCGAGGAAAAGCCTGAGTATTCTTTGGCATTCATTCATTATCTCAATCAATCAGTCAACACACACACATATGTGTATGCATTCATACACGTATATTTGAGGCAATGTGCTGCTTCGTGGAAAGCTTACTGTATTTCAAGGCACAAAACCATAATGTAAAGCAGACTATGAAGAATGTCCAGATTCTCTGGAGGTTCAGACAGGGACTCCACTAGATTATCTGAAGTTTGTTTGACAAAGTTTCTTTGTTTGTAGATTCCTTTCTTTGGTGCTAAGACTATTGGCCGAAGAAGTCCTGATGGACCAGTGCTGAGCAAAGCTGAGTTTGTTGAGAAAGTTCGTCAGAGTAACCAGGCCTGTCATGATGGAGATTTCCACACAGCTATCGTTCTGTATAATGAAGCCCTGGCTGTTGACCCTCAAAACTGCATCTTATACAGCAATAGATCTGCAGCCTACATGAAAATCCAGCAGTATGACAAGGCACTGGATGATGCCATCAAAGCCCGACTTCTCAATCCCAAATGGCCAAAGGTAGAAATTTCATTTACTTTCACAGAATCTTCTGCACTGATTTCTTATTTTAATGTAACGTTTTATTGATTCAGTGCTGTTATTAATATTTTAACAATATGTACTTCAACAGAATGTAGAATGGCTGTGTTGAGCTGGACCACTAGTGAATGGCTTCCTTTTTTGTGCTGTGGAAGTGTGCTTTCCATATCCAAGTTCGATTCTTCTGTACTTTTCAGATTTGAATTTTTTTACTTAGCTTCTTGATAGAATTCATTGTAGTTACTTATGTAAGTTTTGGACCTTGCTTTTTTTCCAAGTGTTTTAGATAGGATATGATGATTATGTTTCTTTCCTTCAATTCAAAATAATTAACATTAGTTCACTGTCAATGACTGCTTATTTTCAGAATGTTATTTTTTCAGGGAAACGTTTTTCCCCCAATAAATCATTGTAATTATCTATATTTCTTTAAACAGTGCAAGGCTTGTGTTATTATCTTTGTTTTGTATATAGTTTATTTTCAGTGAATCTACCTGTCCTTTAGCTCCCAGTTTATTTTAGAAGAACATGTTATTAGGCCAGTTAACTGGGATGTCCCATAAAACTATGACCCTAAACTTTCAAACCAAGAAACCAAATTCCGTGAGGTATTTGGTTGTACATAAGCAGTCTCAGCAGCTACTTTCTCTCTCTTTTTTTTTTTTTTTTTTTGTTGTTATAAATTTGTCTATCACACAACTTTTGCCAGTTGAACTTTTTTCAGGTATACAGCTTATTGATAGTAATTATATTAATTGACTGTTCAACCCTACATTTAACCAATGTGATTCTGCCATCACTGTAAACTGAAACTCAGTATTCCATCAGCAGTACACTCCCCACCTTCCCCTTCCCTCCTGCCCCAGTAACCACTAATAAACTTTGGTGTCTATACATTTGCTTGTTTTGTCTTTTCATATAAGTGAAGTCATAAAATATTTGTCCATTTCTGATTGACTTACTCAGTATAATGTCTTCAAGCTCCATTCATATTGTAGCATGTACCACGACTTCATTTGTCTTACTGGCTGAGTAGTATTCCATTGTATGTATGTACCACATTTTGTTTATCTATTTTATCCGTTGATGGGCATTTAGGTTGTTTCCACTTTTTGGCTATTATGAATAGCCAAATGAACAATGAACATTGGTGTACAAGTGCCTGAGTCTCTGCTTTTGAGTCTTTTGGGTATATACCTAGGTATGGAGTTGCATGGTCATATGGTAGTTCTATTTTTAGTTTTTTGAGGAACCACCACGCTGTTTCCCACAATGGCTGTACCATTTTACATTCTCACCAGCAATGGATAAAGGTTTCAGTTTCCCAACATCCTTGCCAACATTTATTTTCTGTTTTTTTAAAATTTTATCTTAGCCATCCTAGTGGGATCGAAATGGTATCTTATTGTGGTTTTGATTTGTATCTCTCTGATGGCTAATGATGTTGAGCATCTTTTTATGTGTTTGGCGTCCATTTTAATGTTCTCTTTGGTGAAATGTCTATTAAAATAAGCCTACATTTTCTGATTAATGATATAGGGGGCTAAGAGTCACCAGGAGAAACTACGTTCCCGGGGTGCATACTTTAGTACAATTAAGTGGTCATAGGTGGTCACAGAGAAGTGTATCTCCTGCTGGAAGGCAGCTGCCTTCCTTCAGCATACTCTCTGTGGTATCAGTGCTTTTAAATTTACTGAGGCTTGTTTCATTGCCTACTATATGGTTTATCTTGGTGAACTACTGTGAGCACTCAAAAAGAATATGTGTTCTGCACTTGTGAGGTATAGGTCTGGAGATACCAGTTAAGTCAAGGTGCTTGGTAGTTTTGTTAATATCTTCTATGTCTTTGCTAATTTTTTTTTTGGGGGGCTAGTTATTCTATCAATTGCTGGAATAAAAAAGTTAAAAATCTCAAACTGAGATTTTGGCAGTGGCTATTTATTCCTTTAATATTGTAAAATTTTTGCTTGATGTATTTTGAAGCCTTGTTAACATATACACCTTTATTATTATTTTTATCTCTATGAATTGATAATTTTTTCAATATGTAGTGTCTCTTTTTATCTCTGGAGTACTTTTTGTAATAAAATCTATTTTGTTTGATAACATAGCCATTCTAGCCTTCTTCTGCTTATTCTTAGCATGATGTATCTTTTTCTGTCAATATATTTTCAACCTCTCTGTGCCTCTCTCTGTCAGAGTCATCTCTTTGGACAGCATATAGTAGTGTCTTGCTTTTTAAATCAATTTTGTCAACCTTTGCATTTTAATTGGAATTTATGGCCATTAGCATATAATTCTATTATTAATATTGTTGAGTTTGAGTCTACTATTATTTATTTTCTTTGCTTTTTGGTCCTGTCTTCCTTTTTCTGCCCTTTATTGGTTTAATTGAATATTTTTTAGCATTTCTTTTAAACTTTCAATTGGCCTTCTAGCTCTACTTCCTTTTTTACTGGTTGCTAACATAATTAGAGGAGCCCTAGTGGGGCAGTGGTTAAGTGCTCAGCTGCTAACCAAAAGATTGGCAGTTTGAACCCAGCAGCTGCTGTTTGGGAGAAGATGTGACAATCTGCTTCTGTAAAGATTTACAGTCTTGGAAACCCTATGGGGGCAGTTCCACTCTGTCCTATAGGATCACTATGAGTCAGAATCAACTCGATGGCAACGGGGTTTGTTTTGTTTTTATAAACATACTTAACTTCTCATAGTTCACTTTCAGTTAATATTGAATCATTTCACATAAACTGTAGAAACCTTCTAACTGTATAGGTTCACATTCCTCCAAGTTTATGTTATAATTGTTCAATATATCCTGCTTACCTACGTTATAAGGCCACAAAACAATGATACAATTTTTGCTTTAAGCAGCTACATGAGTTACCCAAATATTTGCCTAGACATTTACCATTTCTGATGCTCTTCCTCGTTTCTGATGTTTTGAATTTTCACCTAATATCATTTTGCATTAGCCTAAAGAGCTTACTTTAGCATTTCTTGCAATGCAGTTCTGATGGTAAGTAATTCTTCTAGCTTTTTTTTTTTTTTTAAAGTCTTTATTTTACCCTTGTTCTTGAAAGTATTTTCACTGGATATAGAATTCTGTTTTTGTGGGTTTTTTTTTTTTTTTTTTTTTGCCCTTTGGTTTTTTCCTTGCATCACTTTAAAAAGATGTTTTTCTACCTTCTGGCTTCTATAGTTTCTGATGAGAAGTCAGCTGATTATCTCATTGTTCCCCTATATGTAATATGTTGTTTTTCTCTTGCTGCTGTCAAGATTGCTCTTGTCTTTGCCTTTCATTGGTTTAACTATGATGTGCACCTGCATGGTATTCTTCTTATCCCATTTGGTGTTCATGAAACTTTTGAATCTACATATTTATATCTTGCATGAAATTTGGAAATTTCCTCCCATCATTTCTTAGTGTATTTTCCGCCTGTTATCTGTTTTTCTCTCCTTTTGATCTAACATATGGATAAACAAAATGTGGTTCTCCATACAATGGAATATTATGCAGCCATAAAAAGGAAGAAAGTAGTGATACGTGCTACAGCATAGATGAAATATCTCTGAGAGTTCCTGTAATGTGAAATTTTTTGCCAATATTATCTCCTCTGGGACATTTTGTTCCTTTTGTCATGCTACTTTCCTTGTTTATGTTGATAAGTTCACCTTCACTAAGTTCCTCTAGCTGTATATTGAGAATCTCTTTAATGGCAGCTGTGTCGGTATTCCCACAGTCAGCTATTTATTCTGTAACTCCCTGTAGGTTTGATTCAGATTTTACTTCCAGCATTATCACTTGTTTCTTTGCTGCACTTTCATTTTTGTTTGTCAGTTCTCTCTTTCAAATATCCATTTTTGTAAAATGTTACTTGGGTTTATCAGTTGTGTGTGAACTGAATAACAGATGTGCAGTCACCAATCTCCAGCAGACTTTGAAACAAGTGATATGATTGGTCACTAATCATGATGTCTATCTCTTATATATGTAGTGATTTGTGGACTGAAGAGCTAGCAGCAAAGTTTGGACTGTATGCATTTATTTGAACTTAATATATTATGGTAAGTGAAATTTGAACAGTATTGCTGGGGGGATGGGTGTTATTTAACTAACCAAAGAAAACCCAAACCCATTGCCATTGAGTTGATTCTGACTCATAGCGATCCCATAGGACAGTGTAGAACTGCTCCATAGGGTTTCTAAGGCTGTAATCTTTGCAGAAGCAGACTGCCACATCTTTCTCCTGTGGAGCAGCTGGTAGGTTCAGGCCGCCAACCTTTTGGTTAGTAGCTGAGCACTTAACCACTGTGCCACCCAGGGCTCCTTCATTATTTAACTAAACTGTGGTTAATTGAAATTTGTGTATATCAGAACCATGTGAATTGAGGACTGCTGGTACTTTGGAGTTCGACCTAAGTTTTTCTCCATTTACTAACTGTGAAGCCTTTGACAGGTTGCTTCACCTCCCCAAGCCTCAGCTTTCTCACGTGTAAAATGGGTTAACATCACACGTTGAAGGGGTTATGTTGAGGATTAAAATAATGTATATAAAGCACCTAATTTTTTATGCGCAAATTATTTGATGCATGATAGATGTTAATGGTGATGATGATAATAATGAAGTTAGTAATAACCCTATATTTATACACATGTAGTTTTTATCAAAACTACCCCAGTTCTTTATTAAGCATTTTTTCTTCCCCTTATAATAATCTCAGTAGTAATTTTCTAAATCCTTCCAATTTCTGCTGATCAGTTTTTTTTAAAGTGTGATGATGCCCGAATGGAAAAAATACTCCATTAAGATATAGATATTACAGAGGAAAAGAGAAAGAATTATTTTCCACCAGATATACAGGATATGTGTTCTTCTGAATAACCTGTCACATCCTATTGCTCTTTTATGTGTGGTCTGTTTAGTTTATTTCAATTCAGTAACTATCTGTTGGGCATTTACTTTAGGCAAGTACAGTTCTGCTGTTGTCTTCCCTGGTAATAGTATTTAATTGATTTATCTTTTTCTTTGTTTTCATTTGTTAATCTGGCCTATTGATCTCGTCATTGTTTTGGCATTCTGACTCTTCTCCATGAGAAAACATTTAAAATACAGGAAGTACATTAAAAAAAGAGAATGTATTGTTGGGTTGTACTTGTATACATGGGAGTCCCTGGCTGGTGCATTGTTTACGTGCTTGACTACCAGCCAAAAGTTTGGCAGTTCAAAGTCATCCAGAGGCACCTTGGAAGACAGGCCTGATGATTTGCTTCCGAAACATCACATCCTTGGAAAACCCTATGGAGAAGGTTTACTCTGCACACATGGGGTCATCATGAGTTGGAACTGGCTCAGTGGCAGCTAACAACGACTTGTATCCATTAGCTTTTGCTCTGTAACAAAGCACTCCAAAATTTAGTGGCATAAAGCAGTAGTAATTTATTTAGTTTAAGATTCTGTAGGTCATCTGAGTAGCTCTTCTAATGTGGGTGGGCCCAGCTGATTGCTGCTGGGCTTGCTTATGTGTTTGAGATCAACCTAGAGGTTTGGCTGGTGGTTGGGCTATCCAGGACAGACTCACGATTCTGTCAGTTGGCATGTTGTTGACCAGGGAAGCAGGGGCAACTGGGCCATGTGTCTCTCATCATCCAACAGGTTTTCCTGAGCTTCTTTACAGTTGTAGGGTTTCAGTAGCAGCAAGAGAGTGCAAGCACCGATGTATAAGTGTGCTTAGAAAGTGTCACATTTGCTATGGTCCCGCTGGCCAAAGCAAGGCGTATGGTGAAGCCCAGAACCACTCACAGTAGGAGAGTATTACCCAAGAGTGTATATAAATGAAGGGGAAAAATTTGTGGCCATTTTCACAATCTACCTCAGTATTCCTCACTATATGTAAGGTATGGTACATATCATGTACTTTTATTCCTAGAGCATATCCATTCTGTCTATTTTTGTTTGGCTTTTTATCCTTTATATTTCTGTTCTGAAATTTTCTTGAATCACATCTTCTCAAGAAAGTCAGTTCTGAAGTATTTACTCTGATTTTAGTGTGAATTATGAGTTACAGAATTAGTTCTGTCTTCAAAGATAGGAAGAGAAACCCAAAGGAATGTTGGATTTTCATATGGTGTAACACTGTATAAAAAAAGGTTTCATAATGGGACTTCCCTATTAATTTTAATGCACCCTGTAAAAGTACCTCCTCTTTCTGCCTAGATTTAAAGCTCTTTCCATATTCTCATTCATTGATTATACCTTATGACAGTCCTATCATCAGGTATCATACCTGATGACAGTTTAATAATACCTGATGACAGAATATTATGCATGATCTGTCAGATATTATAGCTGATGAAAGAGTTATATGTAAAAAAATAAAATAAAAATATCTAGGCCTCATGTTTCCCTTTGGTTTATCTAGTATTATAATACAGTAAAACCTGTGAAAGCTGGAAGCTGTATAAGGTAGAAACCTGTCAGAGAAGGAAAACTAAATATTTTCCACTAAAATGAGCAATAGAAAAGTGGTAAGCGTGCACCTTGTCAAAAGTGGAAAACTTTCGAGACCTAGAAAAACAAGGCAGTCCCTTTGAGTTCCAGCTCTCACAGGTTTCACCGTAGTAATAAAAACATAGCTTTTATCGAATGCTTATTTACACGATTGTCTGAATCATTTTATGTATGATATCAATTTAATATAATAATTTTATAAAGTAGATTTTTTTTGTCCCAGTTTTAAAAGGATAACATTTTGGCTTATTGAGAGATTAAATAAATTAACTGGTCCAGCACACCCAGCTAGTAACTGGGAGAGTTGAATTTTCACCCAGTTCTGTCTGGTTCTAAAGTATTTGTCCTTAATTACCGTATCATACTACTTCCATGGGCAAAGAAGTCCATCAATTAAGAACGCTTAGGAATTCAGATTTCTCTCTCAAGTTCTAACACTGATACATGATGTTGAGGAGACTACTCAATTTCAGTTTCCTATAATGTAAACCAGAGTCTGAGCTTATGGTTATTTGCCTTTTACTTGTCATGACAAGTACACAAACCTTTTTAAATGCCTTGGAGCTTAACAGACATGCATAAAATAATATTTTAAGCTGAATTCTTATACATACTTTTAATGGTGTGCATTAATTATACACTTTTTGGGTGTAAGTGCATGTTATAATTTCAATTCATTTATTCAACAAGTATTTATTAAGCATTTTCTATGTTCTAAGCACTGTTCTAAGTCTTAGTGACTCAGACAAGAACAAGGGAAACACGGGTCCAGAAGTAATGGAGCTTACATTCTAGTGGAGAAAAGCAAAAAATAAGGTAATAAATATGTATGAAAGTGTTCTAAAGTGATAAGTGCTCTGAAGACAATTTAAAACAGGCTAAAGGGAAGGAGAGTACTGGAGACAAAGAATGACTGGGTCATGTGACAGATTGTGGGAGGAGAGGTTTTGGATGAGATCTGTAAGAACCAAATGTGAAGATTTGTGCAAAGTGCATTTTAGGCAGAATAAACAGCTAGTTTTAATTTGGCTAATTGAGAAAACAACACAAAGGCCAGTGGAGCACGGTCCAGTGAAGGAAATGGTAGGAGATGAGATTGGAGAGATGGGCAGGTGCCAGATCACGCAGGTCATTTTAAGCCATGGTAAAGAGGTTATATTGTATTCTAAGACTTATGGGATGCCATGGGAAGGTTTTAAGTAGAAGAATGACATATTTTAAGGTTAAAACTGTTGCTGTTGAGTTGATTCCGACTTATAGTGACCCTATAGGATGGAGTTGAACTGCCCCGTAGGGTTTCCAAGGAGCAGCTGGTAGATTCGAACTGCCAACCTTTTGGTTAGCAGAGAGGCTCTTAACTATTGTGCCACCACAGGGCTCCACTTTAAGGCTAAGAGTGTGTTATTTAATTTCTGCATGTTTGTTACTTTCTTAAGTTTTGTTCTGTTACTGAGTTTTAATTTAATTTTATTGTGGTTCAGAAACACACTTTGTAATATAATTCATTTTAAATTTATTGAGACTTTTTTAAATGGCCTAACATACAGTTTGTCCTTGGGAATGTACCATGTGCATTTGAGAAGAATGTGTATTCTATTGCTGTTGGGTGGAGTATTCTGCAGATGTCTGTTAGGTCTAGTCAGTGTTACTAAAGCCTTCTATTTCCTCGTTGATCTTCTGCTTAGTTGTTCTATCTGTTATGTCTTAGTTTTTCTATCTCTTGGAGTATTGTTGAATTTCCTATTTCTCCCCTCAATTCTGTCAATTTTTGCAGGCTCTGTTGTTAGGTGCATATATGTTTATAATTATTATGTCTTCCTGAATGATTGGCCCATTTATCATTATAAAAAGTTCCCTTTGTCTCTAGTAACAACTTTTGTCTTAAAATCTATTTTTTCTAATATTAGTATAGCCACTCCAGCTCTCTTTTGCTTACTGATTGCATGGAATATCTTTTTTCATACTTCTATTTTCAACCTATTTGTGACTTTGAAACTATATTGAGTGGCTTAACTTGTAGACAGCATATAGTTGGATCATGTTTTCTTACCCATTTGCCAGTCTCTGCCTTTTGCTTGGAGTATTTAAACCATTTATATTAATGTAATTACTGATAAGGTAGGGTTTATGTTTGCTGATTTTCTATTTGTTTTCTACATGTCTTATGTCTCTTTTGTTCTTCTCTTCCTCCATTATTTCCTTGTTTTAAGTTAAGAAGATGTTTTCTAGTGTGCCATTTTAATTTCCTTGTTTCTTTTACTATATTTTTTGAGTTATCTTCATGGTTGTTTCCCTATGAGTTTAATTTAAATTAACTAAATCTTAATTTAAAACAATCTAGTTTGGTTTAATGTCAATTTAATTTCAATAGTATACAGAAACTTTGTTCCAATATAGCGCTGTTCCCTCTTCCTTCCTTTGTGTTATTATTGTCATACAAATTACATCTTTATACATTATAAGCCCATCAACACAGTTTTATAATTATTGGTTTATGCTGCTGTCTTTTAAATCAGAAGAAGAAAAGAGTTATAAACAAAAATACACTTATACTGT